TGGATGTAAGGCAAAATCTCAGGGTCATTTTGATTTGCATTTCCCTGATGACTAAGGACGTTGAACATTTCTTTAAGTGTTTCTCTGCCACTTGATATTCCTCTATCGAGAATTCTCTGTTTAGCTCTGTACTCCATTTTTTAATTGGATTACTTGATTTGTTGCTGTTTGGCTTCTTGAGTTCTTTATATATCTTTATATGATTGTGGAGAAAGGGGAACCCTCCTCCACTGCTAGTGAGAATGTAAACTTGTACAACCACTTTGGAAATCAATCTGGCACTTTCTGAGACAACTAGGAATAGAGCTTCCTCAAGATCCAGCTACACCACTCCTAGGCATATATCCAAAAGAGGCTCAAGTACACAATAAGGATATTTGCCCAAACCATGTTTGTAGCAGCTCTGTTTGTAATAGCCAGAAGCTGGAAACAATGCAGACGCCCCTCAACTGTCGAATGGATACGGAAATTGTGGTACATCTACACAGTGAAATATTACTCAGCAATAAAAAATAAAATAAAATAAAAAGGAAATCCTGAAATTTGCAGGTAAATGGTGGGAACTGGAAAGGATCATCCTGAGTGAGGTATCCCAGAAGCAGAAAGACCCACAGGGTATATACTCACTCATAAGTGGATACTAGACATATAATGTAGGATAAACCTACTAAAATCTGAACACCTAAAGAAACTAATCAAGTAGGAGGACTCTGGCTAACATGCTCAATCCCCATTCAGAAAGGCAAAGAGGATGGTCATCAGGAGAAGGAGAAAACAGGGAACAGACAGGAGCCTGCCACGGAGGGCCTCTGAAAGGCTCTACCCTCAGACTATCAAAGCAGATGCTGAGACTTAAGGCCAACCTTTGGGCAGAGTGCATGGGATCTTATGATAGAAGTGGGAAATAGTAAGATCTGGAGAGGACAGGAGCTCCACAAGGAGAACAACAGAACCAAAATATCTGGGCACAGGGGTCTTTTCTGAGACTGATACTCCAACCAAGGACCATGGAGATAACCTAGAACCCCTGCACAGATGTAGCCCATGGCAGCTCAGTGTCCAAGTAGGTCCCATAGTAATGGGAACAGGGACTGACATGAACTGATATGAACTGACATGAACTGCTCTTTGATCACCGCCCCCTGAGGAGGGAGCGGCCTTACCAGGCCATAGAAGATGACAATACAGCCATTCCTGATGTGATCTGATAGACTAAGATCAGAAGGAAGGAGAGGAGGACCTCCCCTATCAGTGGACTTGGGGAGGGGCATGCGTGGAGAAGAGGGAGGGAAGGTGGGATTGGGAGGGGAGGGGGGAGGGAGCTACAGGGGGGATACAAAGTGAATAAAGTACAATTAATAAAAAAAACAATAAAAGAAAAAAGAGAATAAATTAAAGAAAAAAGAACAGCAGAGACTATGTGGAAAGAAAGATGATCTTGGGAACGAGGTAAGAAGTTTGGGGCTCTGGCTGTGCGGCCCCTTTGCATGGAAAGGGCAAGCAGGAGCTTGATGACAGCGGCCAGATGAAGAGCCCAGTGGTGGTACTCACAGGTGCTCCACAGCTCTTGTCTGCCTCAAATCCAGGCAAGGCTTAGAGAGACTGCTCTGGCAAGAGAGGAATTCCATTTTGCCAGTCTACATGGCTCTGAGGGGCCGGGAACCATTTTAAGAGAGATCTGTGGTGTGAACTGAGCTACCCAAAAATGGGGAGCAACCACACTTTGCAGCCTGATGAGAGCCGGCTTCAGGGAGTCGTGGAGAATGGGGAAAATTACACAAGGGAAAACAGAAAGGGGTTGCTAGCAGAAGGCTCAGGCGCGTACGGGGGAGGTAGGCCAGCTGGCAGGAGTAGGAGGCCCTCGCCGCCTGAAAGAAACCTGGCAGTTTGGTAACCCGGAGCATGGCATCAACAGGTAGAAGAAGCTCTGGCTCCTCTACCCAGTGTTCATGACTATGCAGCCATGTAGAGGGGTGCTTGCCATCCTGACCCATATCTCCCAGAAGGGTGACAAATGCCTACTGGATTTTGAAGGTATGGGGGACAAGCCTGCCTGTATAGATCCAACATACTTAGGATACACCCCTCAACTTAAATATTAGCCACCCCAGAATGGACAATCTGGGGACACTCTGGACAACTGGAGACCTACCTAGGCCAGAAATTACAAAACAGTATGGCAAGCAGAGGCCCCTTATACATAAAGAAAGGAGGCTGCAAAGGCTGAGACCCTTCGGACAGACGCCAGACACATGTACAGTCTGAGGTCAGCAGCAGGAAAAATCACAGGAAAGAAAAGATACCACTTCAAATTCAACTGATTCTCCTCACAGGCACCCACACTTTTCAAACACCCATGAAGAAGCCACACCGACTCATTGTCTCGGGAAACTAAGTCATATGCTTGCACATTTGTGTCACAACAGCCAAGATGTGGAACTAGCCTAGACACTCAGGATGGATAAAAGGAAATATGGATCGCATATCCAACGGAGTCTTATCCAGCTGCCATTGTGGGTGTAAGTCTGCCACTGCGGGAGCACAGAAGGACAGGGATGTCCAGTCTTAGAGAAACAAGCCAGACTCAGAAAAGCAAGCAGCATGTATCCTCCGACATGTGAAATCCATGTCCAAGTAGCAGGTGTGTGGTGGTTCTGTGCATGTGAAACACAAGTATAGGATGAGGGCTACAAGAAAAAGAGAAAGTGTAAAGAGGGAGAGTGCAGGGAGATATAACAGGGTCACAGGAAAAGAAGGCAGAACGGTGTCTGATAGGAGCAATCTAGGTTTATGAATACATGCATGTGCACTTGTGTGTGTGTGTGTGCGTGTGTGTGTACAGGTGCATATTACTTGAAAGCAGAAGGCAGAAGGGTTACTATTTGGGGGTATGAAGGGGCATAGAGGGAGAAGTGAGAGTGGTGAAGAGGAGCAGGGTAGCACAGCAAGAGGCAAATGTGACCAATGCACAAAGAAAGAGATTGATAAAAATGTCTTAGTACAACCCGTTATTTTGTACACTAAAGTTAATGAACTAAATTGGAAAACAAAAAGTGTTCAACATGATCAGATCCCATCTGATCCAGTATGAAGACGGGGGGATGGGTGGCAGAGGAGGCAGAGGAGGGACCTCCGTGGGCCTCCTGTCTGGTTGCTTATCCTGCTGATCTATCAATCCTGCCTTAGCAACTGCTCCCACTGAGGGACTCCTTGCATGGCATCTACCGAATCTACCAGAGGCTTCCATGTAAAATGGAAGGCATAGTCTTAAACAATTCAGGCTGCTCTGGCCAATCCTGATCACTAACTTGACTGAACAACGTCAGTGGATGACTGGATTAGTAAAGCACACTTCTGTCTGTGCCTGAGGAGGCACACCCAGAGCACCTATGTGTGGAGGACCAAGTGGGAGGGAAACACCCGCCCGAGCTGTGAGCAGACCAGAGGAGAGGCTGGGATATAGACTGAAGAAATAGAAATGTTGAGAGCTCAGAAAGCAAGCAAGCAAGCTAGCAACCTCTCTCTCCCTCCATCAGTCCGTCTGTCCCTCTGTCTTTCAGTCCATCCCTCTGTCCCTCCCTCCCTCCCTCCCTCCCTCTCCTATGTGTCTGCAGTAAGAGGAGCAGCCTTTGTGGTAATGTTCTTTCTCTCCAGAGACCCAGAATCCAGGGAGACAACTACAGGATGAAGCCTCTAAAGCTGCAAGCTAAAGGTTTTTCCCCACAAACTGTTTATGTCAGATCCTTTCTAACAGTGACACAAAGAAACATGTAGGTATGATGCTTAAGGATGTTAGCAGACAAATACAGTGTTAATAGCAGAGATTAAACAAACATGAATGCATTGTAACTTATTTGCTTTAACTTCAATTTTTCCTAAAGGAGCGTGCAAATATTAAAAGCATCTGCTTTAGGGTTGGCTGTAGAGTTGGCTCAGCATGGAAATGCTCTTGGTATTCCAGAGGACCCAGGTTCAATTCCCAGGGCCGACGTGGTAGCTGGAAGGATGTCAAATATCTCTTACTGGTAGGATATTTGAGGGACCTTCAGGAAATGTAAATGTCTTTAATGTTTTTCATTTGAATACAAAGGTTTAAATTTTAGGTGCAATTGGAGAGGACAAAAAAATTATTCTGGAAACTACAAAATGAATTTTTTTGTTTGTTTGTTTGAGAAAGGATTTCTCTGTGTAGCCTTGGCTGTCCTAGACTCGCTTTGTAGACCAGGCTGGCCTTAAACTCACAGAGATCTGCCTGCCTCCTCTTCCTCAGTGCTGTGATTATAGGTATGCACCACCATGCCCAGCTCTAAAAAGATAATCCTGTAAAGAGTTAATAAAATATGTAACTAGGAGAATCCTCGTTGTTTATCTTTTAGCTTGTTAAACCTAGTCTCAATTGAGAAGGTGCAACCTTAACAGAAGTAGTTTGGTCTTTGTTGTAGTCCACCTGACATTTATCTCAGCCCAGGGAAGTATTAGCTATGCCTACATTTTGGATGAGGGTGTCCCCCAAAGGTCTAAAGTGTTAAAAGCTTGGTGAAAACCCATAGTGGTGGTACTACTGGAAAATGGTGACCGCTTCAAAAAGCAGGCCCGAGGGAGGCTATTAGGCTCTTGGGGCTGTATCTACAAAGGACAAGGTATTCCCTCCTCTTACTCTGCTTCCTGATTAGTGAAGAGAATGGTCTGCTCTGCCATGCTCCCCCACCACCATACAGCCCTTACAGAGACCCAGAGCAGCGTGGCCACTCAGCTTTTTCTGGGACTTCCAGAATAATCAAGCAAAAGAGATGTTTTTATAAGCTAGCTGATTCAGGCATTGCATTGTAGTATTGGAGAACTAGTGCAATCACATTGATTATAACTTTCCCATATCAGAAATCGGTTGGACTCCTAAGTCTAGAACTGAGTCTGCAATGGCGATCATCTGTACTCTGTGTTACAGTGTTTTGCCCTGATTGGTGCGATACACAAGAAGTGAAGCTTGAGGACATGCTCACCTGGCTCACAGTTTTCAGTCACGAGTCCTGTGTAGAGATGGTGGCTGAAGGAAAGCTTCCTGTCCTCTCCTTCCATATGGACAACCAAGAGGCCCGTGGTTGCCCTCGCCGGAATCCCTTGATCTGTGGCCCTTAGCTGCACCCACATAGGAAAATACTCTGAAGAGGGATTCTGCTGAAGTTTAATTTCTCCTGTGTGCGCATCAATAGAAAACAATGACTGGGTGTCTACGAAACTGAACCTAAGAGTTCCGTTGGGCCCTGCGTCAGGGTCACTGGCCCTCAGATGAGCAATGGTCTGGTTTAGCGACAGCTTGGGGGAAATGAAAGCATCAACTGGGTTCTCTTCCCACACAGGATTATTGTCATTAGCGTCAGTGACGGATATGAGTATATCTAGCGTGCTGCTCTTTACGCCTTGGGCGCTGCAGTCTCTGGCCACAGCCTGGAACGTGTGCTGGGATCTGGCTTCTCGGTCAAGTGCACGGCTGGTTCTCACTGTCCCTGTTACAGGATCAACAGTGAATGCACCGGAAGTTTCCTCCAGAAGAAAATACTCCACCTGCCCATTGAGGCCCTCATCTCTGTCCACAGCAGACAGCACCAGGACCACGGTGCCCACTTCAGCATCTTCTCTCAGAGAGGACTGATAATGAAGCATAGGAAAAGAAGGGATGTGGTCATTGTCATCCAAAACCCTAACATGCAGCTGCATCACAGAGCTTCGAGCTGGAGTCCCCAGGTCTGAGCACAGGAGAGTAAGGTTGAAATTGTTGATCTGCTCACGGTCTAAAGCACGAGTTGTTGAGAGTTCTCCTGAGGTTGCATGAATAGCGAAGTACTCATCAGTGTTTCCACCTGTCACACACAAAGCAATTGGAAATCTATTTGAAATGGGAAAGTAATAACCTCTTGATAGACAATATGCTTATCAGTTCGATCATTGAAAATAATTACCCACTGATCATCGTATCTTAGCACTGTTCTAAGTACTGAGAACAGCCGAGCATGGCAACCTTGTGACTTCTCCATATGTGGCTTACAGCAATTGCAACAATCTGGTTTTCTTGTGTGCATATAAAATGTTTTGTATTAATATAGTTTCCATTATATTAAGATATTTATTTTGCTGAAAATAAAACAATATTCAGAGATAAGGAGCAGGGTTCAATGTCCATCTGGTCTTGTTTGTTTGCTTGCTATCAATCAAAAATTAAGATGTGGGGGCACTGGAGAGATGGCTCAGTGTTTAAGAGCTTTGGCTACTCTTCTAGAGGACCCCAGTACAGTTCCCAGTCCTTACACGGCACCTCACAACCGTCTGCAACTCCAGTTCCATGTGGTCCAATGCCCTCTTCTGGCATGCAGTGGTACACATGCATGCATGCAGGTAAACACACATACACATGAAACAAGTAACTCTTTAAAAAAAACACTCAAAGAAATTAACAGATGGATTTTAATGATTTCCCAAAATGTTACTGGCTGTTGAGTTTATTTTACTCGTATGCCACTGCTGTGTATCTCTTCTACAATCCTCTGCCACTGCCTGTGTCAACACTATTACATCTGTCAGAGATGGCTGCACATCTGCTCACTTCTCCCATGACATCATCAAGAATATTTCATCTCTGAATCTTTCAAAAATGTGTTCTTAACTACCTTCCATGGTACCAACTCTAATAAAAGTTATAATTGAACTCAGAGACAAAATGTCTCAAAGTCATCTGGGAAGACAAGTGAAATTAAAAACTGTTCAGAGACTCATTGGCCATATTCTTAATGAGTACTAGAAACAAAGTGCCAGACTCAATGGAGTGGGGCCTCACTAGGTTATAAGCACTTACAGCAATGGGAACAGTGCTCAGAGAGAATGACCACAAATGCTAATGAGGAGGCTCAGAGAGGAACCCTGCCTTTCTGTGTAAGATACAGTTAACCCATGTCCAACGCAGGGATGGCCAACGTATGTGATATTTGTGATTAAGAAATCAGTCCACTTCCTCATTGACCATTCCGTGAGGCCTTATTATGTGCCAAGTATGAGCTCTTATATGCTACAAATGTGTTTGATATTGGAACTATGAGGAAGAACATGTGATCTAGTCAGGATCCAGACTTTAGGGAATGCTCTGAGAACTCATACTCCAGTGTCTGGGGTTCAACATTTATAGCCCTATTATCATGGCCTCAAACGCTACTGGAAACAATAGCACCTAAATTCACCCTTCAGTGAGAAGAAGCAAGATTGAAAGTTTTGGAGACAGTGTTCTGTGTAAAGCAAAGATGGCACGAAGGCCCAGAGATCTGAGCCCTTAGTAGCTGAAATGTCTTGAAGCAATTAAAAAGCAAACTGGCTTCCCTGGGAGTGTGCATGTAGCAGAGAAGGCTGGATTGTCACAAGTAAAGACATGGGCTGAGGAGAAAATCAGGGTCGAATATCAAATGGCCTACACTTCACTGCAGAACACGAAGAGGAGAACTGGAAGGATTTTAGGCAGAGCCAGGAGTCAGGTTTCTGTTTTAAGAGGAAGACTGAGGAATCAAGGTGAGCGTTATGAGAATGGGGAGGTTAAGGAGGGAGTTGTGGATTCTGCACTTGAACAAGCAGGAAGCAGAGGATTCTGAAATAAGATGCACATTCAGGAAATAGGTACAGTCTAGGGGTGCAACAGTAAAAAGCAAGACATAGGAAGGAAATAATCATGACCTAGCTTAGGTAAATTCTATGGTTTTGATGCGGAATAGGCCCCAGAATCCTGTGTTAAAAATGTGTCTCCAAGGTAGTGCAGTCACGAGATAAAAGTGCCTTTAGGACATGGGGCCTAGTGAGCTGTAGGTTATAGAAAATGTACCCTTGAAGCAGACTGTGGAAGCCTTCAGCCTCTACTCCTTGCCCTAGCCCACAGTGTAAGCAGGCGAAAACTAGTTTGCCATATGCAGCCACCATAATGTTCCACTACAGGTCTAAAGCACTGGCCCGATTGGTCATGAAGTGAAAACGCTGAGAACAGAGCTCAAATAGCCTTTTATCCCTTTGCAAGTTACTTATATCAAGGACTATGGTACTGCTGCAAAAGACAAAAAAAAAAAAAAAAAAGATCAATCTTTCGATCAATCTTTCCTAAAACAATGTGTGAGCGTGTCTGGGGTTACATAAAGCGAAGCTATCCTAGGACTACCTATAAACAGATAGCACAGGTAGCTCTAAGACAGTCCCCGGATGAACAGCTTTCTTTTTCACCCTACTGCTAAAATTGTTTTGCCTGAGAATTCATCTAGTGTTCTGGTTGTGTTTCTGTCGACTGGACACAAAACTATGGTCATCTGGGTAGAGGGAATCTTGTGGATAAAATGCCTCTGTCAGATTGGCCTCTATGTAAATCTATGGCGACATTTTCTTGTTTAATGATTGATGTGGGAGGGCTCAGCCCAGGCAGGTGTCCTGGGGTATATAAGAAAGGGAGCTGAATGTAAGCCATGAGGAACAGGCCAGGGAGCAGCACTCCTCCTCAGCCTCTGAATCCCTCTCTGCCTCCACGTTCCTGCCCTGAGTTCCTGCCATGACTTCTGTTCCTGATGGACTGTAAGCTGTAAGATAAAATAGACTTTCCTCCCCCAGTTGCTTTTGGTCACAGTGTTTGTCACAGCAGCAGATACAAACTAGGGCACCTAGGATCAGAAATAAAGGTTTATTCTGCCATGCTCACCTTTAGTGCCACCCTTTTCTCAATAAAAACAAATGACTGACAAATAAGGAGGTCATTACCACCTCCTGCTGTTCAATGACTGGCTTCAGTGATGGATGAACATGCTCCACTTCATACACAAACGGTCTTTGCTGTTAAGCAAACTGTAAGCCTGCTCACTTTCCCGAGATGGACACATCACAGCTGAAGCTGTGAGTTGGTTTGGAGGATATACAACTTAGAAAATGATCAAGAGCTAACGTTACTTCTCTCAAGCAACTTTCCACCCGGTTTCAAGATATAGACGAGGGGCTGATGGAGCTCAGCTCAGTGGTGGAGCATGGAAGTTCTGAATTCTGAACTCCATTGTTAGCACCAAAGAAGAAATTTGAAAATACAGACATGTACTTTCAGACCTTGTGTCTGTAACAAAGAAAATTGGCAGGAGGCCTGTTGCTGCTCTCTCCCTTACTTTACAGCATCAGATGGCTGTATACTCCCAGCTGATCAAGAGGCTGGGTGAGAAGGATCCCTGAGTACAGGATTTGGGAAGGAAAGAAGGAAGGAAGAAAGGAAGGAAGGGAGGGAAGGAGGGAGGGAGAGAAAAAAGGAAGGGAGGGAGGGAAGGAAGTAAGAAAGAAGGGAGAGAAGGAAGGAAGAAAGGAGGGAAGGAAGGAAGAAGGGAGAGAGGGAGGGAAGAAGGAAGGAAGGAAGGAAGGAAGGAAGGAAGGAAGGAAGGAAGGAAAGAAGGAAGGGAGGAGAAAAGAAAGGAAATCATACGTTCATATACTTGAAGAAATAAGTCCATCACAGTTTTACATTTTGTTTTTGTTGAAACTTGGACAATGTCTTTGATATTTTAATCTTTCAATAATCAGCTCAACCTAAAATAACTTTCAAATTTAAATTCCATATTTATTAAAGTAGCTTCCATTTTAACATATACAGATACTCAATTACAAAAAAAATATAGCGAAAATAATTGATATAGGAATACAAAATCTACTTTGCTATAGTAAATTATGACAGGATATAGAAGAAATCAGTAACTCAAGAGGCAAAGAATAAAATAAGTGATCATATAAAGAAACAAAAATAGGGAAACGCCATCTGTTCTATCTGTATTTGCCCTAGTGTTGGCATAGAAGGAAATTCAGAAAAGCTCTCAAGATCACGACCTTAGAGAACTTGGAAGGCATTGGTCCAGAGTGGAGATGGGCAGAGTTAGAAGCCTTTGGGGGCGGGAGGGGTGGGGTGGGGAGATCAGCAGTTTTCACTGGGTGTGAATTTTGTAGGAAAGCCCAACAGACAACAACATGGAGACTCGGCACACCCCCTGCCTCGGTCAGTGCCCGGAGGGAATGCTGGCTTTCTAACACTCACCGGCTATGTGGTAGGTGACCATGCCATTGCTGCCGGCATCCGCATCAAAAGCCAACATGGCATAGACGACCCCTGGATCTTGGTTTTCCAGAATTTCAATCTCGGGACTGAGGACAATCAGCTCGGGGGCGTGGTCATTTTCATCTTCAATGGTGCAGATGATGGTGGCAGTGCTGGACAGTGAAGGGATTCCACCGTCTCGCACAAGCACTGTCATGGAAGACAAGGAAGGATGGGTGTGGCTGTTAGTACACACCTCAGATGTGTTGTTCTGGTTACACAGCATGAGGGTGAACTAACTGGGAACTCTTGGGTCACTAATGCTTCCTTTAAAGACATCCAACCGAAATCTTAAACTTCAGGCTAGAGAAATGGCTCAGCAGTTAAAGGAACTTTCTCTTCTCCCAGAGGCCTGGCCTTCAGATCCAGCACCAACATTAGAAGTTCGCAACCACCTGCAACTCTAGGTCAAGGGTATCAGACAGCCTTTGCTGGCCTCCTTGGGTACTGCATATGCACGCTGCACACACACAGATGTGCGGGCACACATTCATGTACTTTTTAAACAAATAAAAACAATTTTAAAAAGAAATGCGAACACACCAATAATCCTTCTGGATCCTTGGAGATTACATAGTCGGGGGGGGGGGGTAAGAGTACATATCTTACCTCGAAGTGTAAAGACGTCTTGAGCTTCTCGGTCAAATGTGACAGTTGTCACCACCTCTCCCGTGTCAGGATTGATCTCAAACAATCCAAAGGCAGGTCCTGGCATGATTTCAAACTGAAGCTTGGAATTGATTCCTTAAGGAAAAATAAAGCAAAACTTAGCCATTCTCCCTTTGGGTAATTTGGCCATTTTCATATGACTATATCAGGCAGTGGGTGAGAAAGGCAAGATTATTTTGAAAAGTCTTCTGATTAAAGCAGAAGACAATATCTCTGTCTGTTCTTCTGCAGTGAAGTCCTCATGGGCTGAAATACTTAGTTTTCAAAAGCCTTATGAGACTTACCCACAGTGAATGCTTAGGATTTTTTCCTTCCCATAAAGTTTTTCTTTATGGGAGTAAGCAACTCTACAAGTTAGTCCCTAATTACTCCTAACACCCCTGATTGTGATTTAATGACATAATTGTGAACTTGCGGGGCAGATGACAATTTCTGTAACTTAGCCTCTGTTTGAAAAGGCTGTGCTCAGCTGTAGACTCTGTTGACTCTCGACCTCAGGAGGCAGGCGCACAGAGCTGCTGGTGTGGTTATTCTTGCTTTGTTTTGTGTTTAACCTAACAGTCGCTCTCGTTTGTGGAGTGAGAAGTGAAAACCACATAGTTGTGCATTCTGAAAACAATTCCTCCCATTTTTGTGGCTGTAACTCGTTACTTGCTTATTCCTCCTCACGCCCTTGTAATTGTCCAGAACAAACAAAAGAATAAGAAAGTAGAAAAGAAACAGGGAAGGCTTAGCCTAATCCCATTATCTTACTAAGTCGAATGGCTGTGTCTGCAGATGTGGTGCAATCCGCCTCAGGGCACACATCTAATGAAGGGTCTATGGGTGCTGCTTGCTTCTGATGCTAGACCTCAGGGCCGCCGGCCTATGACTTCTTCCTGTGCTCCTTAGGAGCACCCCTCTCAGTGTCTTTCCTGATGCAGCCAAGCCAGAGTGTCACTCCATCAAACTTGCTTCTTCCCCAGGTCTTGTGACTTTTGGTTGAGAATTCCCCATAGAGCCTCTCTCTGCTCTCCTTGGTTGCCCAGCAGATACTGAGATGCAGAAAAGCTCCCAACAGCACAGGCTAAGGCCACAAAAATGGCACCGTCATCTCCGATTGTCTGCAGTCATAGCTCTTCTGCATCAGTCCCACAGACTCCTTTGTATTTCTCAGAAAGAAAGGAAATACCGAGAGAGTTCCCTTTGTCATCCGAATCTGTCTTCAACTCTACCTCTGTCTGCCCATTTTAGTGGCATAAGCAACTGCTCTGGCTTGGAATGTTTCTGAAGCTTCTAGTCTTTCTTCTATATCTCTATCTTCTCAAAGTATAAGAATTAAGTCCTCCTTTAAGGATGTTGTCCATTCTCTAGCGAACACTTCAAACCACTGTCACCCCAGCGATTCTTCCCACTGTGAGCAATGATTTCCTGATTATAAAATCTAGTAACTATCTTTAGTTCTTACCTATTCTAGCTTCTCCATGGTATTATCAATTGCTGACTGACATGCACAAAAACAGAAAGGAAGGAACAAAAGAAGAAAAGAAGAAAAACACATGGAAAGAGAAATAGAAAAAGAAAATAAGTTATCCAGTTGTTTGCTTGTTTTGGTGCTAGAAATGGTATTCAGGGTCTCACACTGCTAGGAAGGCACCCTATAATTGAGGTAAAAACCTCTCAATTTTCTCCTTGTTTCCTTGTTTCTCCTTGTTTCCACAGCGAAAGGAAAATAGCTTATTGTAGTCATAGTTTAATTAGCATCTTACTCTAATGGATATAGGTAGAGCTGAATACAGATTCAATTATTTCATTCCTAATCAATGACTCCAGGTGACACCATGTATCCATATGGAACTCCAATTATTAATTTGGTTATTTAGCTCTTCTCTCCCTCCTTCTCTCCCTCCCTTTCTTCCTTCCACACTTCTCTCACTTCTTCCCTCCTGTGCTCAACTATTCATGCACGTTTACTGAATGCTAGACCTGGAAAGATACTGTTCAAACCACTATCTTTGATCGTTAGAGCTCCTTTTGTGTGGTATAGATAGAGAGTTATAAAGAGCGATGGGACAAACTTCAGAGAGGAGTAGATTCGGAGAAAACGCACAAAGATAGTATTGCACGGTTTCATCATTGAGCATGCCGCATTCGAAGGCGACAGGCAGATGATAAGAATACAGTGCTATAGGAAGACGGCAGTCGCCACCCCCACGAGGCTGACGGTACAGCACTTACAACGCATGCAAGCACAGTTCTACAGAATACGACATGACTGGCCAAGCAGAGACGCCCTCTGCAGGACCGTGAAGATCAACAGTGGTTAACTAGTAAGAAGAATAAAATTCATACGCTTCACCTAGAAAGTCTCTCATGATATGGACCCTGCTTGGTCCTCCAACTCTTCTTATGGGTCATGTCCTTGCTATATTCCTGCCCTCCTTATTTCACCTTTGCTCTCTGAACATGCTAAGCTTTGTTTTGCTTGAAGCCTCTGTTTGCCATTTCCTGTTTGCTTTTCCTTCACTTTTTTTTTTCTTTTAACACAGCACGTGAACTACTGTGTTTCACACCTAAATCTACGCTTCTGTGGATTCTCTGGCCTATGGCACCAGAGTCTAAGACTATGGCTCGCCTTTGCCCAGTGACTTCCTCCAGTGTCCTTCTTCAAAGACTTGTCACAAAGAGACGCTAGAAGAAGGCTGAAGGTCCAAAGGAGAAGGGGCTGGGGACATAATTCAGCAGTAAAGAACACCTGCTGTTCTTGCAGTAGGCCTGAGTTCAGTTCCCAGCACCTACAAAGATGCTCACAACCATTTGGAATTTTCAGTTCCAGAGGAACCTGATGCCCTTTTCTGGCTTTCATGGACATTGTGTACACATCATGCATATACATACATACATACATACATACATACATACACACAGACATACATGGAGGTGAAACAATCAAAACACATTAAATAAACAAATAAATATTTTTTTGTTTTGAAAGGGGGACAAAATTGGATTTTATTCTTCCTAGTAGCACGTTGCATGTCCAGTGCTATTCTGTCCTTTTAGCACTCCAAGCTCCAGATTCTGCAAGGCCCTTCCTCTTATAGTCTGTTCTCCGAGTTCCAAATCTTCTCTTTTTGAATTCACATGGTAGCTGCTTTCAGACTCATCCCCCATGCCTTCCCCTACCTTCATAGTGTCTTTTTGCTCACTCGACTGTCCAGCAACAGTACTGCAGCATCTCAAATTCTTGGCAGGGAAACTGGACTCTCTGTCCTTGAATAGAGTGCTAAGGGCTTTGTCAGAGGAAGGCGAGAGAATAGCCATAAATTATCACTTTCATGATAGCATGGGTAGCTAGCCCCTTGGGTTGAGCCTAAGTTGTAGACAGATAATAATGCATATGAACACAAACCTGGGGAATATATACAAACCAATTTAACTACATGAGAAAGACTGATGTCTTAAAGCAGAATATGGCATTGGCTGTGAAGACTTACTAATATTCTGTGTGTCTACTCGGAATAACACATATGTCATTTTCCAACTGGGAAGACCACCTTTTATGTGCTCAACAGTGACATGTTGGAAGAAGAGGGCACACTTCTCTGATTGTTTGGGAGGTGAGTGTGAACAAATAAGTAAAGGAATATACTTCAAAGATTAAAGACGACCTGAAGCCATTTATGACTCATGAGCTTTGTTTTCTCAGATCATGAAGTCAAAGCACAGATTGAGTATCGACATTGTATCTCTCACTACCGTAAGAATCTGGGCTAAAAGAAAGTAAAATATACTTAATCCAAGTTTAAATGTAGAAGAGAGATCGTCAGCAAATACAATGAAATCAGAGTTCAGACCAAAATTTTAACAAATATTGTCTCAGAGTGAGTGAGATCATGATTGGTCCATGTTCATTTCCCCCTTTCTATAAATGCATTCATCACTGGAATCTAAATAGTGTAAGATAGCAAAATGTAAATAGTGTGGGTCAACCAAATACCAACAAAAGGCCAACAGAACAGGAGTAAGAGGCTAGCAGAAGTACACTGAGCTTATAATCAGCGTGTCACTGTGGCTCCTCTAGCAACGGCCTCAGATTGAGAAATCTAAGATTTTACATCCCAACAGCCTACCTCACCTCTAAGTTCCTCTGTTAGAACATGGTCAAGATGAATGTTTCTGAAATCAGGGAAAGAGCGAGAAATACTGGATGGTGCCTGAATCTTAGAGCTCTCTTAATGCCACTGTGTTGGGCTGAACCTAAAACCAGCAAGGACATTGGTAAAGATTCAGAAAGCAGACTGACGAGCAACTACAACAGATGGCCAGAGGAAATATATCTTCATGAAGAAAGTGACATTGTGCCTGCTTGGCAGGAGAGATACCATGATGAAGAAATTGATATTAAAACCGTCATAGCCAGCTCTGTCTGCTCCCGAGAGAAGTTATTACAAAATGGCGTATATTAACATATTTTAGTATCTAGGAATGGGGATGAAGCTTAGTGGTAGAACTCTTGCTAAGATGTGCAAAACCCTAGTTTCATGCCCAGATAATAATAAAGAGAGCTACTTTAGCATCTTTATCCTTTGGTTTAATGGGCACACGTAAGTGCCCTTGGAAGGTGTGCATCACGGCTTTTGTGAGGAACCCTGGCAGTGCTTCAAAGACTTGAGGGTAAGGAATCCCTATTTAACTCCTTCCCTTCATCCCGCAGTTTCCGTATCTAACATTAGATATGTATTCTAAACAGTGGTGTCAGAAATAGAGTCAATGAAATGCTGGGCTTTCCCCTGACTCCATGAGTGGGCTTGTAGGATCGAGGTGCACACCACACAAGGAGAAAGCCCTGTCCAGGAACCAGACAGTGTATTCAAGATGATACCAGGTACAGAGGACACTTGCATGGGACAGAAGATACTAGCCTCCTGACCAATGTACTGTTTTGTTAAAGTGTTATGTTTCACCACCACTGAGCAAGTGCCATAACCCCAAAGCCATCGGCCCCATGAGGTGCCTCCTCCTCCGGGGAGCCAGAGGCAGTCATAGCCATCTCTGCATGCTAACAATGGCGCTCTTGTTGGGGGACCAAATGCTGGGAAATTTTAATGCCTCAGTTAAAATCTGGTAGTTGCTTTTCTTTTTCTTTTTCCTTTTAAAACAAGAAAAAGTCCTGCTAGATTCAGAGTGAGTCACACAATATAAACATTCAAATCCCTTTGGACTTTGAATGCCAAGCAGAACTGAGTACTTACATCTCAAAAATCTGCATTCTAGAATGCCAGAGCACATATGCTCAGCTCTCGGGTATTAAGTAACACTATAGTATTTTTAAATACACACTATAAAGTAAACCATTCATAAATTCCAACTTGATGCCAGTTATGTTAAAATCTTGAATACGTCATTTAATTCTCATGCATCATTCCATTTCATTGTTTTAACCCACTAACTGCAAAAGAAAGAATCCAGAGGAAGTATATTCAAACACACATGCACACACACACACACACACACACACACAGATACACACACACATACACACACACACACACACACACAGAGGGAGTTGTGTGTATTTACAAAACATCTGCTAAACTGAGCTGGCTTCATTTAAAAACATAGTAAATATAGTACTTACATGAAATTCTCAAAAAAAAATTTAAAAATTTTAATCAATTCTTTAAAAAAAGGGAAAAACTTTCAGTAACCCAAACCGTCTCCAAGACACATAAGATTAGATGAAATCTGGGGTGGTGTTAAGTTGTATTTCCAATATCCATAAATGTAAAGCCACAAAAATAATAGCCCTGCAACTAAATTTTTAGCTGTAGTTTATCCCTATGGTGATAAGGTTTCAACTCAAATGTAATCAGAGGTCCCAAGAGAAAGTGACATTAACACGACTCAATTTCACAGAAAAGGGAAAAAGGTAGAAGGATTGAAAGAGAGTCAAAAAATTGAGAGAAATTCCCCTCTACCTTTTCAAACATGAAAAAAAAAAAAAAAAAAAGAACCCCGTACAGAAAATAAAAGTAATGAAGAAAGGCCAAGGGGAGGAGGATGCAGGCAGTTTTAGCTGCAGGTCGGCGAGGGCTCAGCCTGAGCTGTCCTCTTTGGGAAGCGGTTCCTGAGTCCCGCGGAGGCCCGTGCTGCTGCTTATAGCGGGGAACCCTGGACCAGAGCATTACTAAACCGGGGCCACTGCGGAACGGAACGCACAGTCTGTATGCGCTCCCATTGTTCTTATCGTCCCAAAGCAAACTGTGCTGCAAGAGCGTCAACTTCTCAGCACAGAGGGAGAACAGCTGTGAGCATGCTCCCTCCTGAGCACCCCGAGGAAATGACTTGGATCACACTGCCCCACTCTGGTCAAGGAGGAAAAATAACGCGAGCCCTTAAAATTCCAAGCAGCTCACACAAACACACATCAAAGGCCCATTGCTGCAGAGTGGTGTTTCCCGTGAGGGCAGAGGAGCTCCAATAGGAACTTAGTTTGAAGGCTAAACAAACTAGTCTTTTACTCTTCTGAGCAACATGTAGGGGGGAAAGACCAGTCTTAGTACGATTGGTGTTGTGAAAACATCACTTTGGCTTTTGTACATGTAAAGGTAAAGCTTACAAATGTTAAGTTTTAACGACTAGCTAACGAATGATTTCTGTTATTCCCGAGAAGAAAAAACCAGAATGGGCTGTTAACAGCCAAAACTGAACTGTCAATTTTTATCACTATTTGATTTAAAATAAAGGCAGAGTATCATTAAATCTGCCGTGTCTTAAATGTTTAAAGAGCCCCAGCAATGTTCGGGAGCAAGGTGGAGACACTCATAAATTCCCAGGCACACTAACTGTTCCTTTCAGAGCTGTGTGCCCGTATAGGGTGTTAACTGTGGAGTTAACACTGGCCATTCCCTCTGCCAGTTGGTAGTAACTCTTTTCACACAGTAAAATGCCTTCACACTTACAACGGGACTACATGTTAGCAATGAAATTGTCTCCATTTTACTAACAAGAAGAACAGAGAATGTTAGTAACTGCTTCAAAGTGTCTCAGCTTAAGAAAGAAATGTTTCTGGAACTGAAACCCAGGCCTCCTGACATGAGTGCCATGGCTGTGGCAGCAAGCCGTCCCACACGGAGGAGATGAGAACCACGAGACTTCTCAGGTTCCATGCATCCGGTGCCTTCTGAGGTAAAGGGGAACCTCTGTTGCTACCTCGGTAAAACCAACAACTTACCTGTTAGTTAGGCACGTGCCACTCCAAATAATAACAGATACGAATACGAACAGATGCTAGGTAAAAACAGGCGGCGTTTACAGCTTTTGGTCTCGTGTACGTCTCTGGAAACACTTGGTATCTGAAGTAAGCGGTGACTTCGTTTCCTCTTAACTATCATTTTTCTTAATTTATCCAGGGTTACGATTTGTGTGTATGCACATGTGCATGCATGTGGCATACCACACATGTGGAGGTCAGAAGAGAACATTTGAGAATCATCCATCTCCTTCTATCACGGGTTCCAGAAACCCACCTCGGGTTGTTGGTCTCCCAGCGAGCGTTTCCCCACTCATGGGCCTCACTTTTCAGTTATTACTGTTTTATATCAGCTATAGCTCTTCAGTGCCTTTTATAGTGTCAGCTACCCCTTCTCCATGGGTTTCAGATTACCTGAATCTGTGTCCTCAGCTTCGACCCTGGTGACGAACACCCCTGGACTTTGGTTTTCTCTAACGGAAGTTTCATACAGAAGTTGCGTAAATACAGGAGTCTCATCATTTACATCAAGGACAGTAACTGTCAGGGTCTGGGATGAAGAAAGTGCTGGCATGCCACCATCCTGGGCCCTGAGGGTCAGGACGTGCTGAGTTTTCACTTCGTAGTCGAAAGGGCGAGCTGTTCTTAGCAAGCCTGCGTTGAAAGAGAAGACATAGTGGGCTGTGGATGTCGCCTGGCTTAGGGCTGGTCACTCTAGTGTGGCTTATGATGCACTGTTAAACTCACTTTTCACTGCCAGGGAATGAATCATAAAATACAGAATGGAATTTATTGAACCAACTTCAAATTCTTATATTAGTTACAACAGAAAATTAACATTCTTTGTCAGAAAAGTCAATTTAAGTTATAAAGACAATAACAAATTTGAAAGTATCCTATATGATTATCTGAGAGACCTACATCAAAGTTAAGAGTCTATCCAATATTTCCTTCACTTTCAAAAGTATCTATGATACTGATAACAGATATTCTGTGACACATGATGTATGTAAAAGTAACCAACTCATAAAAATGTGTATAAGACTCCATTGCTCTCAACAGTTGATCGTTGTTAAGGAATTGCTGTCTGTCACGCTTCCTGTTTGTTAACTGCCATTTGTTTTATTAACAATAAAGGGCAAAGATATTGCAACTCAGACAATAACCTTCACAAATAAGCTGCCTTTCTATCCCGCTGCACTGAACCACATACCTGTACTTGCAGGTACTACACAGACAGCCATTGTTGGATAATAACGGTCACATATATTTTTAGGACTGCTGATTGCCTTCATATTTTTTCCTCAAATAATTAAATATTGAATTATGTTTTTGAAATAGTTTTTTTTTTAAATAAATACTCATTGGGGCCACAGGAAAACTCACTATGTTTTTATTTTAATTAGAAACATGAGCCTTGTGAGAGGAAAAATCTCCCATTTCATATGGGGGTACACTCTGTAATTATCATTTTATGTCTTTGAAAAATACCTCAAAAGAAATAGCCATTGTAATAGCTCAAGATTCATGATGCCGGCATTACTAAGACACAATTCAAGTTTGTTCCTCCTTTTTAACGGGCTGAAACAGACCTTCCTTAGGCATCTTGGAAAGCATTTAAAGGGCCATTAAATCAGCTGCAAGGAGAGCCACAGCTCTTGCAGAAGTCATCAGCGTGTGCCTGGAGAATCTCTTGTCGGCTGCGGACTTAGGTGGTGTTCACGCAAGCCTCAGAAGGGAACCACATGTCAGGATCTGAGAAATGTTCTGATAAAACTTCCCAACAGGACAGAGCCAGCTGTGCTCTCAATGTCCACACCCTAGACATTCACTCTCGTTCCAACCAGGGCTCTTCACAGCTGGCCAAATAGTTTATAGCTCAGTTTCCCCTTAGTTTCATGTTTGAAATCACTGTTTTGTAGACAATGAGATAGTAATCCGTAAGTTATTTTTTAATATCCTGGAAATCACATAAAGGAAAGTTCATTTCCAAAGTATACAGGGCTGATACTTTGGGTACAATCATTTATCATATCATGTTAAAAAAACAACAACAAAAACAAAAAAACCACGAATGCCATTTGTCAACATGGTGACAGAAGACCACTGAAATGGCAGTGAGCAACATTTGTGCAGACAGCACGACTTTGGGTAAATGCTGATGTAAAAAATAAAATGTTACAATTAATGTGAAAAACAATGTCCCTAATGAGCAAAAGAATCCAGGCATTAAAAGCTGTCTGTTATTTCCAGTTAATTGCCAGTGCTGTCTTGCACGATCTACAGGCACATAGCCACACCAAAGTCTTTGCATGTGATCCTGACTCCACCTTGCTTGACTCCTAGTAGCACCTCCTACCTCAAGCACGTAGTGGCTTTTGCATCCTCCTCTCCCCAAATACAAGATCAAAGCAGTTAATACTAGCAAAGGATTCAAGCAAAGCCAGTTCTCCAAATACAACTTCCATGATTTGGATATAAGCATGTGTGTGTGTGTGTGTGTGTGTGTGTGTGTGTGTGTGTGTGTGTGTATCAGTGCCGTGTGTTGCATCTCTCTAGGAAAAGCCTGTCACATAGGAACTACTGGGGTGAGACTGCTATAGAACAATGAACAAGAAGAGTTGGTAGAAATGCAGAGAAATCAAAATCCTTGGACAGTGTTGTTTTTAATGCAAGATGTTTCAAGTAGAAAACAGTATGGTGATCCCTCAAAATATTTTTAAAATTAGAGAAGTCCCATTCTTTCAGAGAAGCTACAGCAGTATTAAAAATTGTTTTAATTACAAAGTATCATACCCAACACCACTTCTGAATGTTATGCAAAAAAATTAAAATCAGTGTCTCTAAGAGGCAGTAGCAATGTCAAGTTCACTTTCATGCTGTTCATAATAGCCAAAGTTAGAAATAACTCATAGGTCTGTAAGCAGATGAATGATGATAGAAAATATGATACATGCATGCAATGTTTTGTAAAAATCACAAAGTTATGACTAGAGCAGGTTATAAAAATTTATTGATCCCAAAAGGTTTGGTTCCTTGATTATCTCCTTTTAAGAAAGCAACAGAAACTTTCATTTACATTAAAATAAAAACCATTAAAAAAAAAAAGAAAAAAACAGAAGGCGGAAAATGTTGTGAATAGAAACATGAGTTTGTTTTGGTCCCAGGTGTGGGATGTGGGACTGATTCAGGTGGTCCACAGCAGCAGGGTATTTGCTTCCTGCGGGCTCTGAGAGCTCTTTGCCAGCTGCAGATAGTTTAAATCTGAGGACTCTGAAGAGGGAATAAACGCCAGAGCCCAGAGAGTGTGGAGCAATGAGAAAGAACAAGGCTGCTGCTGCTTCCCCCTTGCTGCTCCTGGTTGCTGCTGTGAAACAAGAAGATGGAGATCTCCTGAAATGAGGACTGGGACTGGCTCCAAGAAACCCAATGACCCTGAACAGCAGGAAGCAGCTAAGAGAACCCTGCCCCATCTCCCACTAACCCTTTTTCTCTTCCACCTGGTGTTGGGGTGTTGGAAGGGATTGGGGTAGAGTAGGGAGAAAAAGATATAAAAATGTAAATGAAAGTTTTTTAAAAGAATGCCGACATATGTGTGATGGCATGTCTGGTATGGACTTTGAAGACATTGTGCTGACTGAAATAAGCTATTCAGACAAAGACAAACACTGCATGATTCCATGTGTGTAAGGTATTTAAAATTATCTGATTTATAGAATTATCAAGAGGAGTGGTGCTTGTTTGGGATGCATACAATAGAAAAATGGGGTGACTTTTAGGGCCTTATTGTACAGCACTGAGTCCACAGTCAAGAACAATGTATTCTGTAAATGACACTCTTAGGAATGTTGTCCTCCCTGTAAATTTTCTTTCTACAGAGTTGGGCAGCGTGGCGTATACCTGCAATCCTAGCACTTTGGAAGCAGAGGCAGGCAGAGCAGGAGTTCAGGGTCATCCTCAGCTACTCCAAAGTCATCCTGGGATATTTGGGAGCTTCAAACAAAACATAACAAAATGCTTAGTAAACTAAAATAATCCAGAACACTGTACCTGATGACCCATCTAACATGAAGACCATGTCCTCATTTCCTGAGAGTATGCTGTATGTTATTTCTCCGTTCATCTCCGCATCCAGGTCCTGGGCGCTCACTCGGTGCACCAGGGAGCCCACCTCAGCATCCTCCCTGACGAAGGCGATGGGATGGGACACAAAGGTGGGGCTGTGGTCATTCACATCCAAAACCACCACTTCTGCTACCAGTGACCTCCATCGCCGGTCGGTCACATTCACTGCCTGATCAGATGCAGTTACGATCAGAATGAAAGATGGGACATTCTCTCTGTCCAGGGGAGATACAGTGACCAGTGTGCCAGAGGAGGGGTGGATGAGAAACGGGTTCATGCCAACATGGCTGGACTCTGCAAAGTACTGTATCCTGCTGTTCAGAAAACTGCCATCGCCGTCTTTGGCGTTGAAGGTGTATACCGCAGTCCCTACAGGGACATTCTCCTTTACACTTATCACAACGAACTCATCCTGGAAAGATGGGGAATGGTCGTTCTGGTCTTCCACATCCACACTCAGGAAGACTGTGCTATTCCAGGGAGGGCTTTGGCTGTGGTCATTAGAAATCACCCTGATAAGATAATGAGATGTCGTTTCATAGTCGAGTTCCTTAGAGAGGAACAAGTCTCCTGTGGAGCTGTCTACTTCAAAGTGGCCATCCTTGTCCTCCGCAACAATGCTGAAGTGTAACGTCCCACTGTGGTGCTGCTGAGGGGGATGAGGTGACTTCATCAGGCTCATGACTTTTGTAGGCTTCGTGGTTTCTGGGATAACTAAATGTCGGATGTTCTGAGACAGAAAAGCCTTCCCTTTGGAGAGTGGTATCACCTAAAATAAGAACAAAAAAAATCTATTGCTGCAGAGTACTTGAAAACTAACTCCAAGTAAAACTATTGATAGGTAAGTTTAAACATCAGTGTAGATTATGTATCATATTGGAAGCTGATTTCTATTTGTGTTTTATATATGAGTTACTTGGTGAGAAAACACCTTTTAATAGAATTCTAACATGTATCAAAAGACTGAAATTTGTTCTATATCAGAGCTAAGAGAGCACACCTCTTAGGTTACTCTGAATGACTGTACCATGTTCTGCTGGAATGCTCTTGATAATTCTTCAGTGTGAGTATTGGACAGCTGATTCTTCAAATTGTCCAAAATCCTAGAGATCTGTCTAGCCACAATGACACCTTTGGGCATTGAAATATCGTGTCTTTGTTGAAACAAAAGGTATGACCACACCAAATTTTCTCCTAACCCAAACTTTAATTATGAAAGACAAAGTTTGAATACAGTGGTCTTGGGGAAATAACCTATTTATTGTTTTATATATATATATATATATACTTATATTATGTTTATAATGTGTTAACATTACTTACTATTATGTGAGTGACAAGGAGGCTAGTTATGCACACACCTTAATTTTGACTAGATAAAGGTAATTTTCTCCTATAAAAATGTCCCGTGACTTGGTTTTGTTGTTCTTGCTTTGTTATGATTAGATTAATGTAAAGCTTTGAAACATGGACCTCAAGTAATTGTTATAAACTTTAAAAATTTCAAAAACTTGTGTGATTTATTTATGGCTATTTGTTTACATACAAGGTCCTCCAGAAAACTTACCAATTCACTGGAATCAGAAATAAGTACAAGAAAAGCCACCTTTTGCATATCACACCCAAAACACCACAAATGTCTATGTAGCGAAGGACAGCTTGTCTAGAATGGTACATAACTAGCTCAAACATTATTTAGGTTGATTTTTTGCCCAAACAATAACAAGAAGGTAAGCATTGTACATATTACTCTTGAAATAGAATCCACATACTGGGATTGTCTTCATGCTATTCACTTATTTAAAAATAAAATGATAGCCTAGAATGTTCTTCTACATTTTATGTTGCTAACGTTACCTGAATGTTAATAACTGCCTCTCCTTGAAGTGGAGGTGCTCCCTGGTCACTGGCAATGACTGTCATCCTATAGGAAGATCTATAGTCATGTGAAAGTACCGTGGTTGTTCTTATTTCACCATTGTTGGCATCGATCTTGAAGTGAGCAGGGTAATCTATCCACACAAATGAAGAAATTAATATTAGTCCATAAAGCAGAAGACAGGATCTATTCAGTTACTGTATTCATACTTCAGGACATGTGTTTACTTTGTGATTTTTGGGAGCTGGAAGAACTATATTAGAATATAGAATATTAATTTGATTTTAATTCCTTGAAGGTCTGAGGAGCTGTTTACCCTATTTAAACATTTTCATGTGTCAAAACCAGCATACAACCCCACCTTAGTCTCTCCAGCTTTTCATTTCCACACATAATTAATACAAATTTAATTTTATATGCCACTTAATTATAGAAAAGATATGATTTTTTGTTTAAGCACATGAAAATAAAAAAAAGTAGACAGTTATGCATGGCAGTGCATGTCCATAATCGAGCAGGAAGATACTGCCAGATCTCTGGACCATCTACAGATTTCTGCCTTCCATATGCATATTTCGCCTTCAAGATTCATTTGTTGACACTGCATCAAGAATGGGCTATGTTTGGTCTTTACATCCACAATGTGCGTTCTCTTTCTTTAATACATTTGGTCTTTACATCTGCAATATGCATTCTCTCTTTCTTTAATACTGGTATTTCTTTGAAGTGCTTTTAATAAGGAGTAGATCTGGAGAACTGATTTAATTTGGGTAGAATTTTGGGGAGAGTACTTCACAAAATACTGACTTTCCCTTCAGAGTCACATGTCCAGTTGCTTTTTGGTCTTAGTGTTGGTTCTGTTGGCTCAAAGTCTGGATCTGTGGGTTCATTAAGTATTCCTAAGTATAGATAGTTCCTGCTCCTCTTCATCTTCACTTATTAGCAAGAATGTTTCAATAAAAATTTCTTCGCACCTAATGTGTGTGTGTGTTGGTGCCTGCAGAATCCGAAAGAGGGCCTTGTAGCCCGTTGAACTAGAGCTACACGCAGTTGTGAGGCACTTGGTGTGGGTGCTGGAAATTAAACACTTGTCCTCTGGAAGAGCAATGGGAGCTTGTAAACATGAGCTGTCTCTGTATCTCCCAACTACTTTTTTTAACCGCAGGAAGAGCTCAGTGTAGGAAAGGGTTCCAGCATATTCCATCATTATCTTCACTGATACTCAAATTGGTTCATCCTGGAATAGTAGGATCCTTGCAAACCTGGTCCCTGGGGTTTTGGACAGAGTCTCTGGGGTCTGCAGCAACTTCCTGGTCACACGCAGGCCAGTGCAGGCTCTTCCTGCAGACGCACTGTCTAAGATCTGCAGTGGACCATTTCTCCATGCATTTCTGCTTCCCCTTTGGTGGAAAATGGTTTTGTGAGACTATATGCCGTGTGGGAGGGAATTCTCACTTTCAGGGTTACTCATTATTTCTGGGCCCTTACAGTAGACACAGAGCAGACAGACATACACACCAAAGTATATCGGCAGGTCACATTGATGCAAGCCATTCGAGTTCATTCCAGGGTGTGCCTAGTTAACCATGGACTGTGATGTCAGATGACACCAAAGCCCCAGACAAAGCTTGAGCACACCAAGTCGTCCTCTGTTTGCACAGATGTTGGTGTCACCTCTGTCCATTTACTCTTTCCCAGCTCCAACGGGTATAAAGAGAAGAGAACTCCTGCCATTGCAAATATCTGAGTATGACTCTGAAACACTCATCAGCTGTGATTTCTGTTTTCATCTGTGCATTTCTGTCTCACAGGAATTCTGCGGAACACCCTCAAGAATGATAAAAATCCATGTTGCTATTATAATGTTTTTTATCTTGTTATGTTATTATATTCTAATTGCAGTTGCCTCTGTTTAGTACTGAGATACAGACAAAACAATACAGTCAGTATATGCTAACACTTCCTTGCTCCAAGTATCATCTCGGAAGCTAATTTAAAAATAACCACGCAGGGAACTAGTCCATGGACCATAAGCAAGTGAAGTATGGCTTTGCCAACTTTCAGGTGAAGGTACTATGCCAGGATCAAAGCTCAATGTGTATGTGTGTGTGTGTGTCTGACTTGCGAATGTGTACATGTTTGAGTGTGTGTGACTGTGGGTGTGCATGTGTGACAATGTATGTGTGTGTACATGTACAATTGTGTGGAGGGTGAGTTTGTGTTTGTACCTCTGCATTCATGGCTCTTCATATTTATTTCACATTCTTAGCTACACTCAAAATTCGAGAAAAGTCAGGTAATGATCTCACAGACCTAACTAACCTAAGCAAGGGCCACAGGTGCTGGAACAAGAGCTGAAAAGTTTACGTGCAAAGAAGTCGGGGCGCCTCCTTGTGGGGAGCAAAGATCATGGAAGCAGAACTTGGGTCCTGGCTAAGAAGGAGCCCCTGACAATGCCTGTCCCCACTGAAGGAGGAGAGGACTTCAGGACAGGAGGGAAACAGAATTCTCGTCGTCTGTGGGTCACCTTCTTGTAACACGAGCCTCGGTGTGTCTAGGCTGATGTATATGAAGGGGTCAGAAGCTTGTTTTCATAGTCACATCTCACTCAAAGATGCCATGTAGTGTGAGGACGTGAAGCAAAGCTTCAACGAGTGCCCTGCCCCTTCTCATTCCATGCTCCAGGACAGAAAACGGAAGTGCTCCTTCTGGGACCTAGCACAAGCACCCTGCAAGCCTCTCATATTTTGCATCTCTTTGAAGTCATCATACTTAGGAGACAGGCTTTAAACTGGCTGTGTCATTCTGGCTGCAAGTTGCTTACTAATATCATTTGCTTCGTTTTTAAATAATTTGTCCTTTTCTTTCTGATCTGTAAAAATTCCAAAAGCATTTCTGTGTCATTACAAGGGTTGTAATTATTTTCTCCCAATTTACAACCTGAGGCTTGTAACATGAAAAAAAAAAAAAAGTTTATTTCATGATGATCTGGATTTTAATTTAATTTCATTCATCTACATCTTTAAATTGTTTTTCTTGTTTAAAAGTCATTTTTACCTTCAATGTCAAATAACCCACCTCTAACCTTTTCCTCTGAAGGAACTGAGATTTTTTTTGACATTTAAATATGACATATTTTGTAGAGGAAGAAATAGCCATGTAACTTTAAAGTAGGTCTGTGTCTTGATGACCCATCTGCTTTGACGCATTGTGTCTAACCCTCCGGTGCAGAAACGAGCCATCTTACTGACTGGCCTGCTGTCAGGGCATCAGTACTATGCTATCTTCATTGAAAAAAAAACTATACAAATTAAAGCCCTTCTATTATGACTTTAGAACAAGCCTGTCAGACTCCACCAAACACTGGCTGACATTTCAACTGAAATACACTAAGTCAATAAATAAACATTTAAATATCTTTCTCTTCTGCTAGGTTTTCCACTTATGAATAGTACACAAATAGCTTTTTACTTCATTTGCCTTTCATGCCTTTTATTAGAACTTGACAATTGTTTTCATAATGGTCTGATGCATGTTCTGCTAGAATTTCCCCTAGAGTCCTTCGAAAGCCCAGACCTTGATATAAGCAGTTAAAGACACACACCCCCTGGAGAAAACAGGACAGCCTTAGAAAGTCTGAGCACGCAATGGCCTTGAAACTCACACTCTAGCTTTGGAGCAAATCCTCCCTGTGCCTGAACTCACCACAGTGAGCGTGCCCTTCGGGCAGCGACATCTCTGAAATGCTAGTGTCACGTGATGTCACTGACACCTGGGGGTCTATAGACATTGATTTCAGCAGCTGCTCTTGTACCTCTTGTGTTTTCCAGAGAATCAAATCTGCTTCTGGCAAGGACAAGGCTGTCTATGGATTTCCCATGTTTGCATCTAACAAGATACAGCACAAAATGGCTTTTAAAAATGGTCTCAAACACTGTCAAGTAAAGATAATCACTGGGACAAATGGGAAGGCTGTGAGGAGAAAGCTTCAAAGTAATCTGTTTCAATAGAGTCGCCCTGGAGTATCCGTATGCTTGGTATGATGTGTGGCCTGACAGAGGTGCACATGATTTCTCTCCATCCTATGAGCAATCCCTACATACTCAAGGGTGCTCCAGCACATCCCATGCTAATTGCCACTTCTTATCTGTTAACCTCCACTTTCCTTTCAATAAAAGCTGACTCATGCTTTGGGTTCTCACAATCCATGCACCTAAGATGGATTGTTTCTGTACAGAAAACTGTCAAACAGCTACTAGTGTCCATGAAACTTTTGATATTCTCTTTTGGGTTTTTAAGTATGGAGTGACTGTCACTGACAGCAAGTGCTTTTGTTCGCAATTTGGCTTTACACTCTAAGTTGTCTAGGGAGTGACGAGTTGATCAAGAGGAAAGCTTCTTTCTCAAAAGTGATACTCAAAGGATAAGTGACAGAAGCAATTCTTAAAGCTCTTAATCCTCTATGGATATCAGCTTTTACCTGAAGAGATGGAGTAGGTAAGTTCTGCACTGAGTCCTTCATCGAGATCCTTTGCAAAGATGGTGGTAACCAAGGTATTGACTGGCTGACCCTCCAAAGCCTGCCATGGAGACAAAGGGCTTACAGATGAGTCACTGGAGTCTTAAAAGATGCATTAGTGGACCTTTAAATGACAGAGCACCTACTAACAGCCCTAAATCTGCACACCGCCCAAATGTCTACCATCAGAAAAAACAGGGGTGGAAGTTCACAAAAGTGCCCACCTTATTTGATTTTTTTTTTAACTCAGTTTGAAGAAGTAATTTGGAACATTTGAGCCAAATATGCAAATAAAATTAATTACAATGAAGTTAGACTAAGTAGTTTTTTTTTGTTTGTTTTTGTTTTTGAAATTCTTAAAGAATTTAGCATTCTCTCAACAGTTTTTCGGGTTATTGTCAGAACAGCCTAACAGAAATATCTGCCTCTATTTCAGGAAATATATCTCACTGCAAGTAGGAATTTTCCTGGAGGGATAATAAAATTCATGGGTGGGGCTCAAACATCCAATAAATCACAGGGTATTTTAGTGATATAATAAAAATCACTCTAATACTGTTCCTTTTGCCAGAATTTTTCTGGCAGATCAATTTTTCTGAAAGATCAGTTTAAATTTCAACTTCCTCAACAACTTTTGAGTTATTCACTAAACATATTTGATCAGAGTTTAAACATTCAATTCAATTGTTTGGAGATCAGTAGTCGCTAAGCTTTTATGCATATGATTTACCTATTTAATATATGTTCACTTATGAAGCATATGAACTAGTTTTGCAATTCATCATAGAAATAATAAGCATTCAAAATGAGAGAATGAAAAGACGAAGTCATATGTACGTGGTTACAAGTTTGGCGTATGCTTACAAAAACCAACTTTGCCTGTCTTTGGATGGACACCCACTCACGAGAGAACCACACACTGATCCAGATTCCAAGATCAGCTTTCAAACGGCTGCACATCAGCTGCACGTAAGGAGCTCTGCTCGGAGACGCAGGCTAAGCGGGGGCGGCACGCCCCTCCATGAGTGCGTGAGGCTGGGACTGGGGCTGCATCACGTAGTGCAATGGGCAGACTGTTTCCTCCATTAATCAAACTGGAGGTGCAATTCTGAAGAGTGAACACAGCCACTTTCTTTCTTTTTAACCATCTCCCTAGCACATGCAGAAATCCCTGTCCTTGGAATATATGTAGTGCCATACCACAGCAGACTTGGCAAATTCACGTCTTCTACCACAAGATGGTGCTCATAACAAATGGCTATCAATGAGCGTTACACACTCACTGCAGAGCTGCTGCACAAACCTTGATGTGAAATTCTTTCCCCGGGAGACACTGTGGGAAAAACGGCCTGTTGTCATTGAGGTCAGTAACTGTGACGTAAACCACCATGGTGGCGTTCCGTGGTGGGGAGCCGTGGTCTGTCACTAGAACAGTCAGGTGATGATGGCCCTGGTGCTCACGATCCAGTGCCAACCAACTGATCAGCTCACCTGGGGAGACAGCAGAATGGGACAAGCATTGTACACTAGAATACTGGCATGACGGCGACAGAGCACATCCAAAATATTCCACTGAAAGAAAAAACAAGTTAAAAGCTTTGCCCCTCAAGACCACTCTGTTCTATGTGACTGTTGAAATAGTTTGCTACCAGCTGTGGTGGTGTGTGCCTCTGATCCCAGCAGCTATAGGAGCAGAGCCTGTTGGATCATGACTTTGAAGCCAGTCTGGGCTAAATAGTGAGACTCTCCTTCAAAACAAAACAAACACTGATGTTGTTCCAGGAAATATCACTTGAAAAATTCTGTATCATTCTTCAAATTTCAAATTACCCATCATTAACCATTTGTATCCCCCCAAAATAAATTTACAAAACATGATTTGGAAGATTTATGGTGGTTGCTTATTCTCCCATTTTGCTGCTACACAGAACAAGGAGGCACGTAAGCCATGGCTTCCCGAGTTCTGCATTTGGTTCTCGGATCTCCACCTGCCAGTCTCCCAGAGCTAAGTTCTTAGGGCTGCTCTCTGAAACAAACACAAACGGATGGCTTCCAGTATTTTGAAAGCTGTAGATTATTTGCCATTGCTATCATCCCTACTTTATAATAACCTGGAAAACATATTCCCTGGGCAGTGACCGATCATTTATATATGTCAACATTTCTTTTTTAACTCACAAAATATGTGTATAGTAATAGACAGAACTTCCCAAATAACTTCCTTATCAATAACTTTCAAAACTTATTTTGTAATTCTTGCTTAGAAATGTGCTATCTTTGGTGAATTCCCTCACCTTTCAGTCCGGTCAGTATAAATTCCTAGGTGCCTGTCCCCACTGCCGAGGGCCTTCAAAGACCACACAGTTCTCACAAATACACTGCATTTCTTCCCACCCAGCCTAGATATTGGCTCCCTTGCCATTTTTGAAGAAATCTAACTGTGAGAAAGTAAACACGAAGCAGTTACCACCAAACATTCTTATTACTAAGCATTTCGCCCTTAATCCAAACAAAATGACATTGCACAGAAAAAGAAGGCTAAAATGGAGACGACTGTGCACGCTTGGTGAGAGGTGCTTAACCGGCGAGCTTAAGTCCAGCACTTACTGTACCATTTTCTGCATAAGCTACATTTAAATAGTATTTATTATGACTGTGGGCTTAGTGAAGTGTACACACAACAGCATTTTAAGATCTGTAACTCTGAAAGCTCCAAATCCAGATTAGCAAATGGAGTTTCATTTTATGAAAATTGTCCAAAAGGGTGGCTTTTTCTCATTCCTGACTGCCTCTTGCTTCAGTTCTCGGTCTGTTTCCCAGATACCTCCTTTTTGCAAGTTAGACATACATCGTCGTGTGTACTGAAGTACGAAATTCCAAATATGGTCACATTTTACATTTAGTTTTGAATTTAAAGTATCCAAGGTTAAGTACATCACATTCAAGTATCCCTCTTTCCCTCTTGGTCTTTACCAAAATGAGCAGGACCACATAAGTGTTTCAGGTGGTTTTGCAATGCTAGTAAGTTACTTTCCAGTTTGACCTTGATGGCATTTATGTTTCACAAAATATTTCTTGACTTTTTTTTGGTATATCTAGAAAGGAAAAGGAGTGGTAGGCGGAAACCATATTCTCCCTCACAGACATCAGCCTTCTCCCTGTAGGAGGCGCTCGCTGTAAGGAAGACCGGGAGCACAAAGGGGCAGGTTTCAGATATGCGCTGGAGAGATGGGTAAGCGAGGAGCATGCATGAGACAGGTGAGGCCTCCCAAGAGAGGCACCCCACGCAAACCCTCACCCGGGACTCACGCAGTACAGTTCTGACCATGCCTCCAGCATAGAGTGGCAAGCAATCCCAGCTGCTGAACAGTCAGGATACATACCAACCGGCTTCATCTCTGTGCGAACATCGTGGCGTGTACAAGCACAAACCTAGCTGGAGAAGCCACGGTGACACACCTCTGCCACACACTAACTCCTGGGCTATGAACTTGAGTGGTCAGTCACTGACTGTACTGAACACGGAAGGTAACGCAGAGAAAACAGCCATGCGTCTAAATTACGTGACCAGAGACAGTGAAGGCCAGACGGGGCTGGGGAGAGGCTGCATGGCAATTTTCAGCCTCATTACAATGTCACGGGACCACCGTCCCATATGCAACACCGAAACATTATGTAGCCTGGGCCTGCACGGGCAGTATATGATGGGAAGGAAAAAGAAGGCAGAATCAGGACAGGTGTTAACTTCGTTCCGAAATCACAATACCGTAGTAAAATGCTATTTCCCAAAACCTAATTTTAAAGCTGTATCTGAAGATTTGAGCTGTTTCATTCTGATTTTTAAAGATAGGGATGAGCGCTGCAAAAAGCTACCTGTGTTGGGGTTCACTTTGAAGACTTTTCCATCGTTCAGAAGGCTGTAGGACAGCTGCGCGTTCTTCCCGGAGTCGGCATCCGCGGCTGCCAGTTTGCCTATCACCCCCAGGGGGACAGGGCTCTCCTCGACGTTCAGAAACACCTTGCTCTGCAAGAAGGCCGGGGAATTGTCGTTCTCGTCCAGAACGCGAACAGTCACCGAGGCGCTCGCGTTCCGCAGGAAGCCGTCCCCCGGGGCCCGCGCAAACACTGTGAACCTGTACGTCCGCGCGGATTCGTAGTCTAGCTGGCGCCGCAGGAAGAGCCACCCCGTGTGCGGGTGGACCCCAAACGCGGCCGCGTCCGTGCTCACATCCAGGGAGTACAGCATCTGCGGGGCCGCGGGCCGCGGGGGCAGGGGGCAGGCCCGCACCTGCAGCACCCGCGTCGCCGGCGGGAGGCCCTCGCGGACCTCCGCCTGGTAGACCAAATGCTCGAACGCCGCGGCGGGGCTCTCCTCCGGGCTCTCGACGACTACCGTGAGCTCCAGCAGGGCCGCCAGGGGAGGCGCCCCGTGGTCCTCGGCCACCAGGGTCAGCCTCAAGGGCCCGCGGCCTGCCAGGCTCTCCCTGAGGTACAGCACCCCGCCGCCGCGGTCCACGCTGAACTCCCGGGGCTGCGGGCTCGCCACGCTGTACCGGACCAGCCCGTTCGGCCCGCTGTCGCGGTCCTCCGCCCTCGCGAGGTACAGGGCCGTGCCGGGCGGCGTGGTCCGGGCGACCCTGACCTCATCCGAGGCTGTGGGAAACTCGGGGCGGTTGTCGTTGACGTCCAGCACCGTTATGCTCACCTCCGTGCTGCCGCAGGCGGGGGAGCTGCCGAGCCGCGCCTGCACCGTGAGCACCACCGTGGGCTGCGCCTCGTGGTCCAGAGGCTTCCGGGTGCGGATGCTGCCCAGCCACCTGTGGATGGAGAACCGCCCTTCCAGGTCGCCGGAGGAAATTCGGTAAGACACTGGCTCTGAGGAGTCTGGAACGAGAGAGAGTGCTTAACAGAGTCTGCTAAGGCAGAGTCTTCTGGGAGCCATGTATGCACGCCCCACCCCCACCCCAGGAAGAACACCGGGGAGTCTCCCCTTCACAGAGGCTGGTGGCTGAGGAACTCTAGCGACCAAAGGGAATGGCCTGCGGACAATGAGCAAGCCATTGCTTTCTTCATCTTTCTTGCATTAGGTAAGAGAACCACATTAAGAGACTATTTTGACATCTTTTTTGAAGAAGCCAAGTTAAATCTGTGTTGGTATTTTTCTGGGGCATCCACCCTCTGGACGGTAAATAACCTCCACAGAGGTAGCAAGAGGGAGACCAGAAAAGACAAAAAACCCCAGCTCTTAGTGAGGGTGTTTCCTTTCCAAGCTTTGTCCTAAAGAGGCACCACTACACATGGCAAGGGAACCAGGCATGAGTGTTTGCTCAGTTACTATTTAGGCCATGACTAAATTATTCGAATTGGTAGCAAAAATGGAATGCTTAAATAAAATGCATTTAAGTTAAACCACCGTGTAACTCACTATGTAGTAAAACTGAATTGTAGATAGTTTAGCTGGAAAGCTATTTAAAGTAAGCATGTGGGTGGTAGTTAAGAAATAAATATAAGATGTATTTTCATTAAAAAGATTCAAGTATATACACTTTATACATCATAATTATTCTGTATTATATTAAACATTCTTTTAAAAAATACCTATTACTTCCTTATCAACATTTGTAATATAGGTGGCAATGATGTTGCTATTACAATAAGCAGACTAACACCCATGCTTTCCCGTTCATTTTGTATAGATTGAAGAAAATACCTACTTAGGATTGCATGGCCTGATAAAACAGGAAACTGTCCAGAAGTGGACTTTGGGGTAGCATTAAGAACTCAGCACTTACTCAAGGACTCTGTTGCCTTCACTGTTCCGATGAGAGTGTCCTCTGGCACATCTTCATAAACCGAGAACGTGTACTCAGGCCTTTCAAACTCTGCGGGAGCCAGCGTGGTCTGCAGGATGTGGATGGTGACGTGAGCATTGGTGGCAGCCGGGAGCCCACCACCATCCCGAGCACCGACCATCAGGAAAAGTGTGGTAGCTTCCAAATGGCTGAGAGTTGATGTCAAGTAAATTATACCTGGGCAGGGAAAGGAAGAGCCAGTGAGCGCTGATGGGCTGTCTACTGTGTCATGTTTATTTCATGTGTCCACTTGACGGGGTCTTTGGTTTTCCCATTTGATCATACAGAATTCTGAGGATGTATCAAGCAGTGTTTGAGGATAAGATTAACATTCAAAGCCAAACACAGAGTATGAAAGCTTTTTCTCTAGAATGCAGGTGGCTCTTATGAAATTAGTTGAAGGCCTGGACAGAACATAAGAGTGGACACACTTCAAATCTTAGAAACTGTCAGCCCCTGTAACTGCATAAGCCAACGCCTTGCAATAAATTTCTTCACACCCTGTTGGTTGTTTCACTGGAGAATTTCAGTGGACACATCTACTCTGCACCAAAGGAATCTGAGTATACTTGTAAAATGTTGTCCAGATTCTTCGAGGCAATAATTTCCTAGAGTTTAACCACTACACATTTTGGGGGCATCTCCCCTCATCAGAAGAATCTGGGTAGCCCGTTTAAAATTCTTACTAGTGTATCACCACGCCACTTCCCGGGAATGACAGGGAAGAGGCCTCACTTGTCCTCATGTGGAACTAGCACGTGTATAGGGTGAGCAAAATCTGCCCCGCTGTCAGAATCCTGAGAAGCAAAAGTTCAAAGTCATTCTCAGCTACTGTGGCGTTTAGTTTTGTCAACTTTACACATCCTCGAATCACCATGGAATAGAGCCTTAGTGCGGGAGTAGCAAGATCAGGCTGAACCGTGGGCATGTCTTTGAAGAACTGTCTTTAACCGACGTGGGAAGGCCCTGTCTGAAAGTGGGCAGGAAGCGGGCAGGGTTTGGGCCCCTGAAATGTACAAGAGCAGAGAAAGCTGGCCAAGCTCTTGACGTACATAATTTCTTCTCTGTCTGTTGTTGGATGTGATGTGACCAGCCTTCTCCAGCCCTGCCCGGCTTCTCTGCAGCAGTGGACCACAGCTTGGAACTGCAGGCCAGATAAACTCACTCACCCGTGTTGCTTTCTATCAGGGCGTTTTATCACAGCCACAGAAAGGAAACTAGAAGAGCACCTAGGATGTTAAAAAGCAGCCTCAGGTACAGGGAACACTATCTCAAAGTTAATGATTAATTAGTTAATTAATTAAATGCCTGATTTTTAAACAATTTTAATTCCTTGTTCCTAAGTTTTTCCGAAAGTTAATATAATAACATAATACCTCTATTTTCTTTTTCCCTCCAGGTTTATTGAGGTATAAGTAATACTTTAAATCTTTAAATTATAGCAGTTCAAGGTGTAGAATGTTTTCATTTTTATGTGACAGTCTGCCAAAGCACTCCAAACTCATTCCACAGATTCCTATTACAGATATTTCCAATCTGTCCTAGCTATGGATTTTAAAATGCCAGAATAAAAATTGCTTCATTATTCAAGTCTGATCTGTTTGGAAGACTGTAGAACCTTTGGGGGAACCTAACTGGAGAATGCAGGACTGTGGAAGACTGGCCATCCTTCTGTGGCTTCCTGGTCCATGTAGACGTGAGCAAGCAGCCTTGAGGTCTTACTGCTATAATCTGAGCCACCGTTCCTCTCCCACAGTGTTGGACATTGCCTCAAACCACGAACAAAATAACCCTTCTTCCTTTAAACTGAGACTAGGCAAAAGGTTACCAATGAAGAGAGAAGGTGCATTAGGAGGTTTGAATTGCTACAACAAAAATAACACATTCCAGGAGGCTTGAACAGCAGAAATTTATTTCACACAGATCTGGAGGTTGGAAAGCTAAAAATGGAGGCAACACAGACCCCAGTCTGGTAAGTGCTTTCTTGGCAAGTTTGCAGTTAGCTATCTTCTTGTTAAATCCTCTCATGGCAGAGAAACCAGACTTTGGTCTCTTTCTTTCTGAGGATACTGTCTTAGTTTCTTTTCTGTTCTGGAATAAAATAAATAATTCAAGGAATGCCAGGGCAGAGGTGAAGACAAAAGGTGAATGAAGCATTTGGCCACATTGCAAACACAGTCAGAAAGAAGAAAACTTTATCCTGTCCAGCTGTTCTCACCTCTGGGTGGTGACTGCTTTGCCAAACCTCTGTCTCCCAAAATATTTGCATTACAATTCATAACAGTAGCAGAATTACAGTCCTGAAGTAGCAATGAAGATAATTTTACGGTTGGGGGTCACCACAACATGAGGAGCCGTATTAAAGGGCCGCAGCATTAGGAAGGTTGAGAACCACAGTTTTATATAGTGCAGAATCCCAAACTGGAACTGTACAATGGGTCTTGCTATGTCTACTAACCTAAACAAGATAATCCTCCATCAGCACTCCCAGAAGTTCATCTCCTAAGTGATTCTCAATTTTACCAAACCGAAAATTAAGGTTGACCATAATCGGCACTGATCCCATAACGGGGCTCTATAATCAAGACATCAGGTAAAACTAATTAACCCTGAAGATCCCACTCCTAATGCCATCCTGGTGGTGGCAAGAATGAATCAATACAAGAACACGTAACAGAACAGAACAAGTGGCTCAGAAATTTCTAGTCCACTTAGAAGCTGGTCCTAGAGACTCTGATGTTAATGAAAGGTTTCTTCTAGCCCTTACTTTATTACACTTAGAAATCAGTAATTATGAACGGGAACTACCCTATAACAACTTCTTCAGCTCAAAAACTCAGTCTTACATTGAAAACACGTGGAGTAATGTAATCTATATACACAATTATTTTTAAGACATTGAACCTGAGTTCTCCTTTACAGCTTCCTCTGAGAGGCCAGTAAACAGATGCCATTGTAACCCATCACTCAGAAAGCAGTCCCGGGACACAAGACAGCGTTTGCTTACGGAGTTACCTCCTTTCAAGACCGCACAGACCAGGCACAGCAGGCAGAAACGACTGTAGAAAAATGGTTGTCACGTAACTCAAAGGCACCCATTAAAGAACTCCCTCCCATCAAATCTTAACCATGTGCATTCAGAAGCCTTTTCCTCCTGTTTGACATGGGATATTTAAACACAGAAAACTGCAGTTTGTGTCACAAAACTGGACAGTCAGTATGTCTTGATTCTTGATGAAATTGTCTGACTGATGATTTGTAGGATTCCAAGTCTTATGAGCTTGTTTAAGATGGCTTATGAAAGCTAATTCTGTGGAAGCTTCATGACCAGTTTAACTACTATGATATACCCAGAGTGTAAGTTCTCTCTGTGAGTTTTAAAATATTCATCTTTCTCTTGCACTCGGCAACTGAATGAAGTTTGTGGTGCTTTCTTATTCCTGCCTTCAAACCCTATGAATGTTAGATTTCTGATTCTATATGCTAATTTTGTGTTCTCCTCAGCATTAGGTCTACTCGTGAATGATTTCGATTAAATCTTAACAGAAACAGACTCTCAAACAGACCTGGCATCTTAGACATTTTCCATATGGGGAGTGATTCATAGAAGCAAGGCAAGAAATTCATTCTTTAGAGTTCACGGAATAATAAAGGACCATGGAGACAGTCTTAGTTCAGAAGAAACTGCCTTCAAATCCTGGTGCTGTCAACTCATAGTTGACTTGAATAATTTTGTAAACCTGATGATTCTCTTTACTACCTATAAACAAACTGTAGGATGACACCACTCTGTGTGCAGATATGCTGTGAGGCACAATTAAACAACCCATGCAAACATATGGCTTAGCATTGGCTGCAACACAAGCTTCTTGCCCTCCAGCCTAAGGACTTAGGGTTAGGTGAATAATTCCAGGAAGCACAAATACATGATAATTTAAGATAGTTAATTTAATTTTATTCATAAAGGGAAGAGTGAGGCAATCAAGTAACATCAATATTCTATAAAATCCTGTGGAAAACAGTACATAAGAAATTGACCTAAGGAGCTGAGCAGGGACTTATCTGTCCTTACAATTTGCCTACCAAGTCACAAAGATGAATTTTGGAGGAGGCTGTAACAACCCTCCTTATACCAGCTTATCCCACTTGCTCTAATAAAACAGCAATTTTATATAATGCAGTCTGAAATGTGTGCCTTCTATTTGTCCTACTTTTGTGGATAGTTCTATCATCTATATTCTTTATTGCTTTACACTGTGTCCATTAAAGTTAATATTTTAAAATTACTTTAAAAATCCCTCTCAACTAAGCCTAGATACCAACATGAGCCATTGGCATCTGAGCTGAGAGTACCCGTTTGGGAAGCCAAAATACCCTGCCAGCAGACTAGGCTCAAAGACCAGGTCTTTGACGAGCTCTAGCTCGTCTCTCACACGGTCAAAGTCCTAGCCTTTGACTGAAATATTCAAACTAATGGAAAATCTTTCTTAAAGCTAGACCAAAACACAACGAACACCTAGACCTGTGTGACTGGTTCTGTGGCCTGAGGGAATCAAATGGAAAAGTCACAACTTTGGCAACAACAGAGCAATGGATCCTGTGTTATCTGAAGACTGGATCGCTGTACAGGCAGCAGAATGCAACCTCTGAAGCAGGCTTTTGAAATAGGGTCTCTGCGTGAAGCCGAGTGATCTCAACATTGATTACAGTGCTTCTGAGAAGAAACGAACCAAGAAGACTCGAGCATAAGGAATGTGCATAAAGATGAAGGCCAGGTGGGAGGTACGCTGCCAGAAGCCAAGAATTACTAATACCACCTGAAAACCATCTGGGAGACGGGCACTTAGTTTTCAGACTCCACGGGCATCAAGCCCCGCGACTCCTTGCTTTCAGGAGGTTGGCCTCCAGAACTGTGCAGCAGTACCATTCTGTTCTTTAAGGCCTCTTGGTCTTGGCACTTTGTCACAGCAGCCCCAGGAAGCCAACTTAGATAGTAACCGCTTTGGTGGAGACTTGGCTGCCGGGAATGGCTTGAGCAATAGTACACAGGCCCCTTCTCTCCTGTGGATTACCTTCTGACTGGACACACCACACAATACATCCCAGCAACATGACTGATAGGCGGAATATGGAGAAAAGTCAATACATTCCAGCAACATGATCAACATGGGCAGGAT